TATAACTAAGTTACTGTCTCAAATGCGCGTCATCACTTTCTCAAATATTGATTTCACTGAAATGAAGAAAAAAATTTAAAATCGTACAAATCAGAAACGGTGAATGAATACTTATCGAATATTAATAAAATCAGTGTCATATTCTCTATGACAGGGTACTTACTTATTGAGACGAGAAAGGGCATGCTAGAATGAATATAAATGACATAAATAAATACGATTACCTGATCTCAACAACTAACGAATTCGTAGATAAAATACATAAGAACAGTCATAACAAATAACACATATTAATCACAGAACTAAACGTTCAAATAAATGTGCCACTAAATAAATAATGGAAATGCATTAAATAACCTATATTTCTAATGATAGTTAAAAGATTCAGTCAATGATTCTATTACTTGGGTAGTTAGGTTAGTTGTTCAGTCTTTTTTATTTATATTTAAGTAACTAAGTTTAGATTATAACAAGAACAAAAGTACAAGACAAACATTCAAATCTTTCGAGGGGATATTAAATACAGCAAAAGCTAAAGACGTACGTAGTTCTAAAGGTGGGAATATACTTAGAGCATTATGTAACGTTCTTACGTGTAGTAAAACACAGGTAAATTGTAAGCCCAATGGTACGTGAAAGGCTGAGGTTCGTTGTTCTGTTACAAGTAAGTGCTCTAGCTAGTCTATAATCACCTTGATATGTTCAAAATCAAAATCAAAAATATTTGTTCAGTTTAGACCACAAGTGGCACTTATGAACGTCAAAATATAGTAAATAATAAAAAAGAAATGGTAGCCCTTATGGGGCACTTTACATGTCTCCTTATCTTTTGTAGTTACAATATAAATATACTATAATATATTACGAGTATGTGCTGTTGTAGTCTACAATAATATTATATGTACTGAGATTTTAATTAGAACAAGGGACAATACATGTAATTTTTGGAATATTATAACTACCTTCGGTGCTCGCTCAGATTATTATATCGCAGTGTTTTTCAACCTGTGGGTCGCGACCCCCCGGGGGGTCCGAAGCCTCTAAGGGGGGTCGTAAAATCTGCCTCAGTAAAAAAAAACAGTAAGGTTTTAAGATAGATTTATCCGAAATCTGATTATGCAAACGCGTAAATGTTGTATGGATTGAAATATTCAGTCCCTACAATATCTTTGTAACATTAAACATGACGAATAAATTTCATTTTCATTTTTTCATCAAAAAATGCATGAAAAAAGCAAAAGGTCGGGGGGTCGCAAAATATATTTTTCATAGGTACTTGTCATGAAAAAGGTTGAAAAACACTGTAATATCGTAATGAAATATGTAGGTATCTCCTTTTTGTAACGTAACAATGTTTTCAAACATAATATTTCAGTAACTGAAAATGTGATGTATTTTTGTAAGGCTTTAGGAAAATTTTGCGTTTTGGAAGATGTACAAATGTTATATTTTATGATAGGATAAAAATGTTTTTCGAGCTGTGAATTTGGTGCGACATTATTATAGGTGAAATGTTTTTGTAAAATATAAATATTTTTATGAATGTATGTATACTATGCTTTTTATTTTAATATCTCCATCTGCGTCTTCCAATTTAACTAAGGTAAACAGTATTTAATTGAAGAATGATGACGGCACATCGATGTAAAACCAATGCGATCTTACTCAGTTGGAATAGGGGCTAATTTGCAACAAATATATAAAAGAGAAGGTCTCAAAATAAATTTCATATTACAAGCTTTTTATTACTTTCACATGTCTGGTGTCTGTCGTCAAATCTTGCAACTTAAAATTGACCCACTTTCCGGTTTCCTATTGAGCTGAAATTTTGCATACATGTGTAAGTCCGATGACAATGCAATATTATGGTACCATTGAGCTGGTCTCATGATGGAGTCGGGAGGTGGCCATAGGAACTCCTAAACAAAACGGCGGAAACTCATCGAGTTTGGGTTCGTTGGATTTGTCTTTTCGAGCANAGTTTTTGATTCGTTCGTTCGTTCGTTTCAGCCAAATGACGTCCACTGCTAGACAAAGACCTCCCCCAAGTTTTCGATTAACTTTCAATAAAATTATATTTAATTATTTTTTAAATTTATCGCTACAATTTCGTATCTTCGTTAGCCTCTTTAGATTTTAAATTACTCATCATCATATTCTAGTATATCTAAAAATAATAACATGGCAGCACCAGAAAACGAGGAAGTATTCCAGTTAATATGGTTAGTTATTTTTCATGAACAAAGCTCACCATGTTTCTGTTATAGAGAAAAGTTCATACAAGAATAATAAAGAATATAATGCTTCACAGCTATTGCCCTAGCACCGAAGGATGCTTAAGAATGAATACATTTCAATGATCTTAACATTCTGCCTGTGTACGCGGAGGTTGAGGTTAACCATGTTTATTTGCATGCGTTTCAGAGCGAGGCGAGTGCCTGCCCTTCAGAATGGATGACTCGTTTCTTCTGAGATTCTTGCGAGCCACCAAGTTCATAGTTCCTAAGGCTCACAGACTGGTAAGCATCCGATCTACATTAGTCATTCAACATCATCAACTTCAGTACGGCTAGCACGAAAAACTTTTAAGTTCGAATCGTTTGCGTATTCAAATCGCCATCAAACGATTTAGTACGAAAACTACAACAGCGTTCTTGTGAACGTGTCATAAAGTGAACTTAGTATGAGAAATGGTTGCACGAAGCTTATTTTGAGAGTCAAAATTGTCACGTTATGGTTTCATTCGAAGGTTGAGCATCGAATTTTGTAGAATACGCAAACGATTCGAAGACGAAAGTTGTTCAAGCTAGAGGTACTGGTCATTTATGTCCGTTTTCACCATCAATCCCTAATTTTTAAGTGACCCCTATAGTAACACATAACAGGAATTTAGTTTTCATAAGGGTCACTTAAAATTTTGGGATTGATGGTGAAAACGGGCATTATTCTCTACTTCTAAGTCTCTCTTTAGGAGCACAGCCCTCTCTAATTTGGTTTCAACCAAATGCCGTGCAATGTTGGACTAAGGCTTACCCAAAGACAAGGTGGAAATCTTTGACCTTAACGACCTGTCCTACGCTTCACTAGGTCTAATCTACCAGAGGCAGATGGAGGATTTGGCCTTCACTCCTGACCAGACGGGTTGCATTTGCATGCACTTGTCATTATTACCATTTATTTATCGTACAGGTACTAAAACATCTTGTTACTCTTGTTAGTTTCATAAACTCGACTTTGCTCAGCAAATACAAGTGTTTTGTCAAAACAAACATATGCAATTTACAAGCTTCATGACGTAACAATGTAAATATAAAACTTTCCACACTTATTTATAAACTAGTTTTTGCCCGTGGCTTCATCCGCGTGAAATTTCGTTTGTCACAGATCGTCATAAATTAGCCTATATGTTATTCTGGGTTTTAAACAATAATACTGTAAAGTTTCATCAAAATCAGTTCAGTAGTTTTTGCGTGAAAGAGTAACAAGCATCCATCCAGACATCCAAACTCTCGCATTTATAATGATCATTCAGACGATTCAGAATGTCATTTAAGGGGACAAATGAACTATTAATAAATAACACATGACAACTTTTAAACTTCACCGTATGCGAACAGTTAACTCCGAATGTTATTCAATCTTTGAAGCAGTTATCGGAAAAATCCCAACATTTTGACTAAATTTTATAAATATAGGCAGTCGCGATTTACACTCCAAAGTCGATGTAATAGAGTCCAAAAAAGATAGATCATCGGAGAGTAAGCGACCGAGATAATCATAGAAGAATATAGCATAATTATTATGTCGATTTACTAGTACAGTTATGAAAATGTAAGTTACATTTCCTGACGGATAGTTACTATACAATTATGGTAATTGCATACCAAAGAGAGTAATTGTAAACATTTATGAGGCTGAAGATAAATTATTATTTTTTTACGTCTGAATGAATCCATTTAGATTTAAAACCATAGTTTATGTTGAGAAGAAGGAAAAAATATACAGGGTGTTAGGTAAATGGGTATATGAGCCGACACTAGCCCATGTTAACATGGTCATATAAATGGTATGGTGAAGTCAGAAATTTGATATGATCATTATATTTTTTTTAATTTTCATACAAAATAAATTTTATAAAATCCGATTTGTATGAAAATTAAAACAATTAAAATGAAGATATCAATTTTCTGACTTCACCATACCATTTATATGGCCATGTTAACATGGGCTAGTATCGGCTCATATACCCATTTACCTAACACCCTGTATAAGCTAGTTTTTATCCTGTTTTTTAAAAGGATAAAAACTAGCTTAAATTATACACGCGTAAGATTTTTCTGTGACAGGCGAAAACTCACGCGGGCAAAACCCAATGTAAATTGACTGTACAAATAAATGATGAGCCGATTAGCTCCGTAACCATTGAACACAACATAGCTGCTTCTATGTGTTATCGTATACAGCACATACATTGTATAAGATACAGATATTCGCCGTTAGAACGTGTGTCAGCTGGCGCCCATATTACGTGAAGACCGGTTTGTTGCATAACTGACCTTATACAAATATGCAACGGTATGATTATTCTAATAAGTGACCTCTAAGTACACAACCTGTTCGTATCCTCGGCATTTTATGACACATATGTGTTAGATCTTTCTAATTAGCAAGTTTTTGGGTTGCGTCTAATCACAAAAATTTGCTTGAGCAATGGCAGGTTCAAATATCTCTCATTTAGTTAGTTTGAGAGAACTTTTGAAATATCATGGTATTTTTGACTGCTTGCAACAAATGCCTATAAAAGCACTTTTTCTGTAGTTACTTTTTGTTAGTTACCCGTTTTTGTTTCGTGCGTGAATTTTTGGCACTAGATATGTTTAGGTACTTCATTACTCTTAAATCAAATAAGATTTTTTTTTACTACTAACAAGTTATATTTCTCTATACTGCTGAAAATATTTCATACATTTAATTTATTTTTCCAATCCGTTTGTTTTCAGGTAGTTCGATACTGTGCGTTCAGAGACCAGTACCCATACCTCTACAAGGATGTGGACATGTGGGAACTGGTGAAGGTCAAGGATGCCTACGAGGGCTCCATGCTGGACCGCCCTGACGTCGGCAGACTGTCCATCTTCAGATTCGGTGAGAGTTCTTCATATAAAGCAGTGTATACCTACTTCTATTTCCAAGAGTATTTACATAACTTTTTGGATTCAACGAATGCCAAAGTATTGACTCAAACTTGGCTCAACACCAGTTTCTTGTTGACACTTTACTAGATAGATTCCGTATGTAGAAATGTAGGTCTAAAGTAATAATAAACACTCGTAGACTTGCGGAGAAATCCGTTGCTATGAAGGCTACATGAAATCACCGAATGTAAACATGCATTCGGTGATTTCACGTACTTAGTCTTCATAAAGCAATTATGATTGGCAAACCAAATTGCTCTCTTTTTAATAAAAATAATTCTCCTTTCTAAAGGACGGATAAACTTCCCTACTTACTTCTACTTAAAAATGTCTCCTTAAGTTAAGTGAGCCGTTGATATTCGCTGGACCAAAGGAGTTTCTAATATCTGCCTCTTAGAGCCACAACACACTCTACTTTTAGCAACATCAATCGACGATTTAGCCGCTTTTTAGAGTCTGAATGCAGTAATCACACATTCCACACCGCACACTTAAAAACGCCAAACGTGGCGATTAATTCAAATAAAAATCAAAAATATTTATTCAGTTTAGACCACAAGTGGCACTTATGAACGTCAAAATATAGTAAATTATAAAAAAATAAAAGGTAGCCCTTATAGGGCACTTTACATGTCTCCTTATCTTTTGGGCCCTACCAGCGCTTCGAGACAAACATATGGCAAGAGATTCGGTGAGAGATCCTCATATAGGGTGTTTAAAGCTTTTAGTTCAAGAGTACTTACCTACCTCTGCAGGGGGGTCTTTGGACTTGACGAATGCTAAATAAAGTACGTTACATATTTGGATGCTCGGTCGCATCGATTTGGTCTAAAACAGTCTTTCCCAAAGTGGGCGATAACGCCCCCTTGTGGGCGCTGCAGGCTTAAAGGGGGGCGATAAGAGACCCAGAAAAAAAAATCGGAACTTTGTCTAGAGGCTTGGGAGGCGTCATCTACTAGGAGGACTCTTCTAGACACCGACTGAGCTCGACTCGACTACAAAAATGGGGGGCGCTAAAAAATAATTTATTCTCTAAGTAATAATTTATTCCCAAACTTATTTAGTAGTAGACTAGAACCGCTGGTCTAAAAGTAGCATATCTGCTTTCGTCTTTAAGTAGACCATGGCTGTTACAACTTCTTCAATGTCCAGGAATGTGGGACCCCAGCGAGTTCCCTGTGGAAGACCTGGTCCGTGCGGGCATGCTGATGATGGAGATCGGACTCCGGCAGCCGAAGCTGCAGGTGATCGGCGGCACCGTCATCGTGGACTTGGAAGGCATCACTTTGAGGCACGTGGCTACCTTGACGCCAACTGTGGCGTACCAGATTGTTGGGTTACTTGGGGTGAGTCAATAGCTAATATACGACGACTATACGACCCATGACGCCAGGGGGGGCCCATTTAGTCGCTGGCTAGTCACCGCCTGCCATTTTTTCAGTCAGAGACTATGAACCAGGCAGGTGTCCCGTAGTCTCCATCCATAGCCCAGTAACCAGTCCATCCATCCTTCATCCATAACCCTAGTCCATTCTCCAATAACTGCAATAGCTCCTGTGCACAGGCTGGGGATGGCCTCTGGCTACATCCCATGATATAGTCAGAGACTAGATCCAGCATGTGCACCACTTTCACTTTTGTCGATTATTTTGCGCTTAAAACGGCCTCTACGTGTTGGATCTGTATCCCCACGAAAGCCTTATAAAGGACCGGGCCACTTTTGACCCGTGAGCTCCAAAGCGTACAAACATAATAATAAAATAAATGTTTATTTTCTCTTCACAAAGGTAACAAAGAATAATGGATACTACAATAGGTATTGTGAATGTTACAATAACAGAACCTTTGCGAGAGACTGGTGTCTAAACTAGGGTAATCCCTGTGTGATAGATCACCAGGCCCTCAACTTGCTCCTTGAACTTAACAATCTGACCAAATAAACACGCGCAAAGTGCGAAGAGAGATCACAAGTACTTGCACATCACTATACATAAAAATACGTGATACAGTTAGTATGATACACGTTTTTATGAAGTTAGGTTTCACGCAGCGTGGGACGTCAAGGGACGACAAGGTGGACCGAAGACCTGATAAAGGTAGCAGGAAGGCGTTGGATGCAGGCCAACCGTGCGATGTAGAAGTCATTGGGGAGGCCTATGTTCAGCAGTGGACGTCCTGGGGCTGAAATGATGATGATGATGTTGATATTTAGGTGTGATTCCGGTTGAGTAAGAAGCGATTGTCATCTTAAATTGAAGACCAAAATTTCATTTAATGACCTGATAATTATAATGTGGAATGATATCTCCTGATTATTATAATGTGGGAGTTTGATCCGAGCAATCCGATATGCGTGAGCACTCATGGATAATTTAGCGTGCACCGATAACCGATAAAAAAAACATTACATAGATTTTTATTATATTATATCTTTTTATAACCAAAGAATAGTAATTATGGTATATTTTGGTATTTATTATTAAAGTCTTCTTAATGTAAACGCAAGTTGTGTTCGCCAGTAAGTGGCTTTACATTTAGTAAGATACTGTAGAATAAGTTTAAAATTATCTAATATGTATTAGTGTATAAGCTGTTGGTGAACCTTTTTTATAAAATAAAAAAAAAAATAAAAAAACACTCAAACATTAGCGGAAGAATGGTGGGGCGCGTCTTCGTGGATGAAACGATATATGTAATCGCCAATGTTTCAATTTTTCAGTTAGCAATGCCTTGCCGCCTAAAGGCCTGCCACTTCGTCAACTACTCCTGGATCATCAACACCTTCATATACCTCTTCAAGCGCTTCATCCCGAGGAAGTCCTGGGACAAAATCCACTTCCACGGATACAACTTAAAGTCTTTACAGGAACATATCGACCCAGAATGCCTTCCAGTCAGGTATGGAGGCACGTGTAGAAATGTATCCAATTTCGGAATATGGCTGACTAAGATCAAGAAGTACAGAGACAGTACCCTTGATCAGGAGCTGAAGAAAGTAGGGTATATGGTTAAAGAGTGATTAAGCAGATTTCTGATATAAAAAAGCTGTAAATAAAATACAAGATCTGACATATATTTCTATGAGACATCTATGAAATCTACAGTAAATTATCTGACAAAACAAAATAAAAATAAATAATATAAGTTCCTAAATAACGTATCAACTTTGGACTCGGAAAGTGCTGAAATAAGATATTTAATTACATACATACTAGCTCTTATATTCATGAACACTGTCAGTTTTATAACTAAGCGAAGCTATATGAAGTTACTGTGCGTCATCACTTTCTCAAAGATTAATTTAATTGAAATGAAGAAAAAAACTGTGTTTTGGCTAAAAAGATTTCGTAAAATCGTACAATTTAGAAACGGTGTACGAATATCTAATATAAAAAAATCATAGTCCAAATTTTCTATGACAGGGCATAATAAATCAAATCAAATCAATATTTATTTATTCAGTTTAGACCAATATTTTGGCACTTATGAACGTCAAAACAAAAAAAGGTAGCCCATAAAGGTAAATAATGAGACGAGAAAAGGGCATGCAAGAAGAAAATATAAACAACATAATAATACTATTATACTACCTGATCTCAACTACTAATGAGCTTGTAAAAATAAATAATATAATCCATAATACCAGTCATAACAAATAAAACATTAATCACAGAAATAAACGTTCAAATAAATGTGCCACTAAGTAAATAATGGAAATGCATTAAATAATCTATTATTTTTAATTATAGTTAAGATTCAGTCAATGATTCTATTACTTGGGTAGTTAGGTTAGTAATTCAGTCTTTTTATATTTATATTTAAGAAACTAAGTTTAGATATAACAAGAACAAAAGTACAAGACAAACATTTAAATCTTTCGAGGGGACATGAAAAACAGCACAAGCTAAAGACGTACGTAGTTCTAAAGGTGAGAATATACTTAGAGCATTTCCATGTATAATGTAACGTTCTTACGTGTAGTAAAACACAGGTAAATTGTAAGCCCAATGGTACGTGAAAGGCTGAGGTTCGTTGTTCTGTTACAAGTGCTCTAGCTAGTCTATAATCACCTTGATATGTTCAAAATCAAAATCAAAAATATTTATTCATTTTAGACTACAAGTGGCACTTATGAACGTCAAAATATAGTAAATAATAAAAAAGAAAAGGTAGCCCTTATGGGGCACTTTACATGTCTCCTTATCTTATCTTTTGTAGTTACAATATAAATATACCATAATATATTACGAGTATGTGCTGTTGTAGTCTACAATAATATTATATGTACTGAGATTTTAATTAGAACAAGTGACAATAAATGTAATTTTTGGAATATTATAACTACCTTCGGTGCTCGCTCAGATTATTATATCGCAGTGTTTTTCAACCTGTGGGTCGCGACCCCCCGGGGGGTCCGAAGCCTCTATAGGGGGGTCGTAAAATCTGCCTCAGTAAAAAAAATAGTAAGGTTTTAAGATAGATTTATCCAAAATCTAATTATGCAAATGCGTAAATGTTGTATGGATTGAAATATTCAGTCCCTACAATATCTTTGTAACATTAAAAAATGCATGAAAAAAAAGCAAAAGGTCGGGGGTCGCAAAATATATTTTTCATAGGTACTTGTCATGAAAAAGGTTGAAAAACACTGTAATATCGTAATGAAATATGTAGGTATCTCCTTTTTGTAACGTAACAATGTTTTCAAACATAATATTTCAGTAACTGAAAATGTGATGTATTTTTGTAAGGCTTTAGGAAAATTTTGCGTTTTGGAAGATGTACAAATGTTATATTTTATGATAGGATAAAAATGTTTTTCGAGCTGTGAATTTGGTGCGACATTATTATAGGTGAAATGTTTTTGTAAAATATAAATATTTTTATGAATGTATGTATACTATGCTTTTTATTTTAATATCTCCATCTGCGTCTTCCAATTTAACTAAGGTAAACGGTATTTAATTGAAGAATGATGACGGCACATCGATGTAAAACCAATGCGATCTTACTCAGTTGGAATAGGGGCTAATTTGCAACAAATATATAAAAGAGAAGGTCTCAAAATAAATTTCATATTTTATCATAATCTTTTGTTTAATATTCGCTAAAATACTGGTAATTTTTCTTTATTCTGTTTAGTTAACTAAAGTAGCATGGCTCTAAGCTTGTATTTATTTTACAACGTAATAACTTGTTATACTCTAATGAGCTTCAATGTTCGTATTTGTTTTTCGAGTTTTTCTGAACTGAAATGTAAATATCTAACACCAAATTAGTACTTCAATATTTTTTATCATTGTTTTAGGTGTTTTAAATAAATTTATCAACACTAATTTAAAGAGATTTCCAAGTAATTCGCACGAATTTGATAATTACGCCTCCGCACGGTTAGTGTATGGAAGCGTGATTTTCAAACGCTTGGATTTGTGTTCGTAAGTTGTATACGAATTCGTACTAAAATTACAACAAATTGGGTAAAATCATAATGCTAATTACGAAAACAGAATTTACTTTATAAATACTCCAGTGCCGAATAGCAAGGGAGGTAAGCTATAATTAATTTCTCTCTCTATCTTAAAATATGGCTTCTACGATTGTAGCAATTGTAAATCACTTTAGATCCTTTTTAAATAGCCAAGGGGACACCGGAATGCTATCTCTATCTACCCCAATCTACGTTCAAGGGCAATATCCCTACTAATATTATAAATGCGAAAGTACCACCTCTCTCTGTCTGTCTGTGTCGCTTTCACGCCTAAACCACGGAACCGATTTTGATGAAAATTGTCATAGAGATAGTTTGTGTCCCGGGAAAGGACATAGGATAGTTTTTATCCCGGTTTTTGAAACAGAAATTTCATGCGGGCGAAGCCGCGGGCGTCTAGCTAGTCTTCCATAAGTACTCGTGGGAACTCATGTACGTAACAGGTACTCAACAAAAGGGACAAAGGTGACTGAGTTTCTTCCACCACTTCTTCTCAGCACCAGCCCATATGTTGTCCCGAAGTGGTGGTAGGGCAAGTTATATTTGGGACGTATAGTGCCCTGGAAGGGGCCTATGCACTGAATAAACTATTTATGTTTATCTTTATCAAGACAAAATGTGCTCTTACGTTTGAAATTAAATCCAGCGAACCTTACCCACCTTATAGTGTTGGGTTATTCACCAAAATGTCCATGGGTTGTCAATAATTGGATCACTATCATCATCAATCATAGAGCCATCCCGCTTCAAACCAATCTATCAATTTACTACGGAATACAAACTTTAGTTTACAAGAACAATGGAGTACTCGTGAATAATATGATATAGTGATATTAATATGGCTCATGTAATATGAGTCATGTTACTTTAACTCATAATGCACTTTCCGCTATTGTATATTAATGTACAAGGAGATGCTCTGTAAGACTAATGCCCGTTTTCACCATCAATCCCTAATTTTTAAGTGACCCCCATGTAAACAAAATTCCTGTTATTTGTTACCATAGGGTTTACTTAAAAAATAGGGATTGGTGGTGAAAACGGGCATAAGTATTCTTACATTTAAGACACGACTGTACGCGCTCGAATCCGCGTGTAAAACTATGTACTTAGATAAAAATGAGTGGGCAGTTTCTGGCTTAAGCTTAAGCCATATTAAAGAAAAATAATAATACCTGGGTATTATCTATTGTAATACTCTATTTTCGTAACAATAGCCTTTGAAAAAGTGGGTTAATCTGGTAAATGTTTGGCCCTAAATATATGTAGATAGCTCGCAGAATTGCTAAAATCAAGTGGCAGTGGGCGGGGCACATAACTCGTAGAGACGATGGCCGTTGGGGCAGAAAAGTTCTTGAGTGGCGACCAAGGGCTGGAAGACGTAGCGTGGGCAGGCCTCCTACTAGATGGACTGACGATCTGGTAAAGGTCGCGGGAAGAGCCTGGATGCGGGCAGCGCAGGACCGTGCATTGTGGAAAACCTTGGGGGAGGCCTTTGTCCAGCAGTGGACGTCATTTGGCTGAAACGAACGAACGAACGAACTAAACTAGACCTAAATATATTATCATTATATTTTTACAAAACTTGTCCCAAAAGACAGTCCCTTCGATAGAATCACTGAGTACTTAGACAGATTAAAAAGGCCATAATATATGAACGCGGAATATTGTGTAATTAATTACCTCTGCTATGAGGTCAACGTTCAATTCGCAAAAATAATTCACTTACACCGTATGTAGTACGTACGGTGTCATATGAAACGGCCAGGGTTCATGCGTTGGTAAATTAATTATTATAATATCTCTGTGTAAAGTCAAGCAATGAATAAATTAAAGAATGAATGAATGTTTGTAACCGTGCTACACAATATATGGAATTACCATTCATGGAGAGTAAAGTCAAGGGGAGGCGAGTGACATCCTCCATTTATTTATTTATTTATTTATTTTATAGAAACCAACAGCGATACATTGAAAATGTTAGTTATAAGATTTAGACTGATAAGCCAATGAAAGGTTTCCCTTTTTATAAAAGTACATTGTTGTTGGGAAAAAATATGAATAAAAGATCGTTTCAGCCAAATGACGTCCACTGCTTTGTCCAGCAGTGGACGTCATTTGGCTGAAACGAACGAACGAACGATAGATTCTTCTGTGTTGAGTCCAAACTAAGTCTTGTTTTCAAATTGTTAGGTAGTAATAAGTTAGTATACGGGGTGATTTTTATAAATTAACCGAACATAAATTTTACTACTCAAATACAACTACTTTTCCTACAGGACCAGTAACTAATCTAAAAAAAAGATTACGTCCTCATATTAAATGACTGATTTGCTCATGATAAGGTGTGTGAATTACGCCCGTATTCACAAACATTACTATGAGGTCTCACAGTGCGTGTGGACGCACAGGGTGACACACGAACCAATCACTGAGCTCTGTTCAACGCTGTGCGTTCAATTTGCTGCTTCAATTAAGCAAGCATCATTTATGAATACGGGCGTAAGTTTTTTTTATTATTTAAACTTGGATCCCATAAGGAAAGGTTGAATTTTAGAATTAATCCTTTCTGTTTGATCAAGTATACCTACTTCTGTATAACGTAGGTAACTTTCACTAGTCCAAAAACTCCACTGTAGTCTAAAAAGTTGTTGTGCAAAAAGCATAAGCGTGGAGAGGTCGTAAAGAGGGCCCGAGCACTCTTGTGCACGTCGCTTGAAAGCCGAACAGTCCTCCGACCCTCAGAGGTCGAAATATTTCATTCATGTGCCGAGTGCTTGACTTTCGTGTCATGTAAAAAGGTATTTTGTATAGATAGGCACTACCTAATAAATTATTAGAATTTTATTATTAGTAATAATAATTATCTCGTATGTATCTGGAAGTATTAGATATTTAAAATTGCTCTTTGTATAATGTACCTACAGAGTTGGTTACAATCATTTAAATAAATGATAATTGAAAATAAGAGTCTAATTTCCACTTGATTACATACTAAAACAGCATTCGTACGAGTAGTTAAAAACAATTTCTTCCATTAGATACTAATTTCTTTATGTTAAAAACAGACATAAAGCGTGTCATATCTTCTGAGTTTGAGTGAGTATTAATAGTACACAGTACTGATGATGTGCATGTAATTAACATTTTCAGTGAACGAATGAATTAATAATCCCACGTATCTCCAAGAATTGTTTTAATTTCATGGGTAAAATAAAGCGTACGGTTTCCAGGATTCGCAGAATTCAAGTTAAAATGGCTATAATCTTAATTGGTTCCGCGGCAGGCATCGTGGAACCGACAGTGACAGGAAGGTAATTTTGGAACGGAGTAATGGATGGATTACCAGGTAAATATTGGGGGATAATTATTCAGGGTGGAATTTTGTAATGCCACCTGGAGGGAAAGTACTCTTATTATTGTAGATAGAAAATGTTACACAAAGACAACATTCCTTTATTTTTGAAAAGAAAAAGAACTGCATTCAAAGATTTTCGAATTTTTTTCGAAAATTTACCTCCATACCAATCCATTTTCTGTAAATAATTACAATTATTTATGATTTCATGGTTTTCCTTTCATTTGATTTATCAAGTTTGTTAGAGTGATTTCATCCTTATACTGAACCCTAACGATTGATGCAATAAAAATACAGGATGTAATTTAAAAAAAAAAATAGTTGGTTCGATTCCCGGATGTAGCAAGCAAATTTTTGGGAATCTTTGAATACAGTTCTATTTTTTAATAAATAAAGGAATGTTTTCTTTGAGTAAAATTTTCTATCAGTATTAAGAGTACTTTCCCTTCAGGTGGCATTACAAAATTCCACCCCGTATAGAACAGAAGACAGACTACCCGACGGTAAACTTGATGAGAATTCCTTATGGCATAAAGTTCGCCTAATGTTAAAATTTTGGCATTAAAGTATAAATAAATAAAACAGCACTTAAACTGTAAATTATTATCTTAACGCAGCTTTTCTAGACCATTTTGTGTTGCAAATAACAACGATATTTTCTGCGTTACTAAACAAAAGATATATCGAAGGTAATTGCATAAGTGATGAGGATTCGGGTCTTTGTTTCCGTTCCTAATGAAGGAATCTAGGAAATAAGGGATAAAAACGCTAACAATTTATTAATATTGATTGTATGAGTATTGAGTAACTAACCATCATCGTTCATGTTGATGTTGTAATCAAACGATTACAACCAAAACTAGCATTAGAATCACGAACTTTGTATGCCTGAAAACAGTCGTCAATTAAAA